TAGTCTACTATATTACCTATTATTCTTTATAGTTTATATAATATTATACTACCTTATTATATTCCTGGAGGCTATTACCATTATATACTGAGTTCCATTATATCATATTATACTGATAGCTCTTTGGGATAATACTGGGACTCGTCGTATGTCTTCGATTTTCTCTCTTGCCCTTTCTGGTAATTGCGGCACAAGCACCACTCGCTTGCGTAACAATTCCATAACCTCCGCCCTTTTCCGGCCCGTTCTCGTCGTATCAAGTTACATAACCCCCCGTTACCAATTATATAAAATATATTTAGTGCGCAAAACAACTTAGGATATCATCAGCAGCTATAAAACTGAAATTGATGATATTTACAATATATGTCCGGCAGAAAAGATGGCTTTTTTGCTTGAACCTTTGCATTGGGTATATAGTTTTTTTTATTGCTCTAAAAGTTTGCCTTCATAGTCTACTTCAATGAATCCACCAACTGTCACTCTGCAGTGGTGGGGAATTACTCTACACACCCTTTATTTAATACTAGCTGCGGTTACCGCTGCACTGCAAAATCGTGCTACTACATTCATTACTACTAATAATCGGACACCAATAGGAACATTGGGTAAAAAATGCAGAGAATAACATTGCACACAATATCAATATTTACAAATCAGTCTAATAAGATAATAAGCATGGTAAAAAAACTCTTACGTATGACATTTATATCACAGCACAACCCAACTTGGAACGCCTGGAACATTAATGACAAACACACAGGCACGCACGCACGCACGCACGCACTCACGCACGCACAAACACACACACACACACACAACCACACGCACACGCACACACAAACCACACACACACACACACACCACACGCAGCGCAACACACACACACACACACACATACACATGCACACACCGCACCGCATTGTACACATACATACACACACACACACGCACACGCACGCGCACGCACACGCACACGCACACACACACACACGTACACACGCGCACGCGCACGCGCACGCACACACATACACATGCACGCAACACACACACAACACACCCACACATACACATGCACACACGCCACGCACATTGTAACATACATAACACACGACAACGCACGCACTGCCGGGTACTTGTGGCTCGTCGCGCGCCACGATGCCGCGTGCACGGTGCTGTGATAGCTGTCACATGTATCGGCTTATGCTGTACACAATCGCGTGTTCCGTCTGTGATGATGATGCGCACATCGACTCGTGCTGTGTCGATGCTGTTGTGTCAGCTGATGCGCGCGTCGACCGTCCGCGTCGACACGTGACCAATGTGTGGCTGTCGTGTGTGTTTGTGTGTGCTGTGTCGTGTGCGTTGCTGTGTGTTATCTTCTTGTGTGCTGTGTTTTCGTGCGATGCGTGAGTGAGTGCCATCGTGCGTGCCGTGCGGAATCCCGCTCTCGCTCGCTCGTTTGTTCATTAAATGTTCCGAGGCGTTCCACAGTTGCGTTTTTGTGCTGTGATATAAAATGTCATACGTAGAGTTTTTTTACCAGCTTATTAGTACTTATTAGACTGATTATGTAAATATGATATTGTGTGAGATGTTATTCTCCATTTTTACCCAATGTTCTATTTGTTGTTCCGATTATTTAGTAGTATGAATTAGTTAGCACGATTTTGCAGTGCGCGGGTACGCAAGTAGTATTAAATAAAGGTGTGTGTAGCAGTTAAATTCCCCACACTCGCAGAAAAGTAGACAAGTTGGACTGGATCATGAAGCTAGGACTATGGAAGGCAAACTTTTCAGTCAGCCAAATAAAAAAAACTATATACCAATTGACAAGGTTCAATGCAAAAAAGCCATCTTTCTGCCGGACTTATATTGTTAAATATCATCATTTCATGCTTTTTTACTGCTGATGATATCTTAATTGTCTTTGCAAAATAGTATTTTAATTGTAGACTTGTTAACACTAGTTTTTGCAAATACACCTATTATCTATCCTATCTATATATATATATATATATATATATATATATATATATATATATGTATATATATATATATACATATACACTCCTCGCTCCACGTGGGGAAGAGGACGTGGGGAGAAACGCCTGCAACCATATCTCCGACTACGATTGTAGGTGAGTAGCGTGCAAGCAGGGCTTCTAGCTTCACCTGTTTGAAGCTTTACTGCTTCACATGACGCACACACAACAAGTGTTTACGCTTATCCGGACATCGGTCATACAGAGGTGACGACCTGGCACCGATATTCACGGCATGCACTAAGGTTTCTACGTTTGAAGCATATAGTGGAAATTTAGCTAGTCTTTCTACCCATACGGTTCTAGCATAGAAATTCTGCCTGAGCACACTATCGCCACACGTGAATTCTGCACCGTATTTTTGTGCATATGTAATGAGCTAGCGGCTAGCGCTAGTGCTGCTCGAATTACATAGCGCAAAATCTGCTGATTACGTGCCACTTTCAGACCCAGTATACTAAATGTTGTATGACGATAGACTAACATCTACAAGCGTAATCCCTCGCTCTCGCTATATCTACCCGGTGTATGCAATGGAGCCAAGCTCAACCATGCACCCTTTTATCATCCACACAGTCGTATACTGTACAATGCATATACATACCTTACGCGTGTTGTACTAGTGGTTGCTATATTTCTTAGAGCCAAACTCGATATCGTGCAGAGGTGGGTGGTTTGTGCACGGCCATCCTCACCCAAGGCGCACCGATAGGTTGCTGCTGTCGCCGACTGTTGGCACTCAGGGCAGTCTAAACGCTTGCACGTACGGGCTCTCGTCAAGCGAAATAGTGCGTCTGCATTAACGTGAAGCTTCCCTGGCCGATGTTCGATGGACCTCTTAGGATTCCGCCACAGAGGTCCGTTTCCACAACCATCAAGGTCTGAGACTAACTCGTTCCGTGAACGACGAGGTCCGTTGCAGTTCCCCCACCGCTATACACCATGCTAGTCACTGCCTAATGCAGGTTAGGCCCGCCAAAAGGTAGTGCTGCATAGGTTGCGTAGTCAAGGAAAGATAACTCTACACCGGTGTCAATAGTAAAATTAACTTCCCGGCCACCTACTTCTACAGGTAGTTGCCATGCAGCCTCTGGCTGTGCCATGGAACTCCCTGAAGCTGGGTGTTGCAGGTCCTCAAGCGATGCTGCGAATGACCCCGCCGCTACTCGTTTCCCGACCTCTGCTGTTTGGCATCCAGGCCCCCAGCAATCCGAGGTCTACGAGAGCGGTAGTGGTCTCCTTCTTCCATTCCGCTCTCTCCAGAGTCTTCTCTGACTCAGCCAACTCAATGTGCGTGCCCGGAGCTGTTGCTGGTCGTGATTCTGCAGGCTCACTCTTTCTACCCGGTACCTGCAGGTTCGGAAACGTTTTTACGCCTCTTATTTCTGCAAGGGGAAAGAAGGGAAATGCGTCTTCAAGAAGCGAGACTCCCTCCATCCTTGGCTCCCGTAAGCTACCGAGCTGTTGGGTGCGAGGTGGTCCTCATCTCGTGGGTGGTGCAGCTAGCGACCTTCCCCTGGCCTCACCTGCCAGTGCCCCAGCAGTATGCTCTGCTTCGGTACTCATCGTGTTGGAGGCACGACACTCTTTCCCCACAAGCGAGGTAGAACTATGGGGAAACGATGTTGCTCGCCGGGTTTTCCTCTAGCTTGCCCTGCACGGGTAGTCATTGGCATCTTGTGTCAAGACTATGGGGAGGTGTATATGCTCTCCTTTCGTATACCAAGTTAGGTATGAGTTGGGCTGATGCACAATGCCAACAAGCAAAACTCAGTGACGACACTTGCACACGAATTCTCACCTCGCTCAGTGAGCTATACTCGTGAACTCTTTTGGGGACTGTTGTGTTGCTACCTTTACAGAACACTGCTTAGGCTGCAACTCAGTCTACCGATCTACAATCCTGGTCACGGCACCAATGCAACGATTTTACGTCTAGTTGTGACGACGAATGAAGGTTCGACCACTGGATTGTAGTGTAGGAGTCAACACAAGAAATAACAACACGTAAAACCAGAACAAGCTGATAAAAGTGTTCACGCCGGGAATAGGCCCGGGGCTTTTATTCGGCCTTAGTCAACATACTAAGGTGAACTAAAAGGTGGTGCACAAAATCTCACACAGTGCTATCGCTTATGGTGTGTATTCTGTTTCATAATTCGATTCAAATTCATTCGATGCGTGAATTGAATCGAATCATTCGTGAATCGAATCATTCGATGCGTGAATCGAATGATTCGATTGCATAGAAACATTCGGGATTTATCATCATTATGAACATTCGATTATATCGCATTATTAATTTTGATTCACGCATTCGAGATCAATTCGATTCACCGCATCGATCATTCGATGGCATCATTGCGATGCTGTGGAATCGAAACTGACTCGTGCCGCGAATCTATATGATTCGACTGCTGCATTCGATTCACGCATCGAAGATTTCGATTCACGGCAATATCTTG